AAGGGGCTGTATCTTAACAAGGGATGCTCCAAAGAAATTTCTTTATATGAAAGATCCTATCTTTTTTTCGATGAGGAATCACCTCCTTAAATGTTTTACACTCATTTAGTTACACCCTGTATAACAATTTCTAACCAGCTGATCTCATGATCAGCTGTTCCTCAATCCACAAAAGGAAAACTTTTTGAATGAACTGTCTTGCTTAGTGCCTCTAATTCACCTCCACGTTCAATAAAAAATCCAACCGCAAAGTCATCGAATCCTCTAGTTGGACTCTGATGTCCAAGAGTCCAAATGGATAAATATATAAATGAACATTCATTTGCACAATGTTGAAAGCTTCTTCCCGAAAAGTATAACTGAATTGTATTTGCTAAAAAAGAATTTTCAATTATCTCTTGAGCTCGGTCTATAACACTATCCTCAGGTAGATAGAGCAGAAACAATGCAAAACCTTTTACTTCGAACGCTATAATATATAAAACGTCATTTGAAAGTCACAAATATTCATGAAATCGAATCCAAGGGCTCTATGTATGGTGTTATGAAACTATGATTTACACAGGAATCTATTAGTAAATTACAACAAAGTTTAATTTTCTTGTTGGAGATGATCACTTAGCGATCGAAACACGTGTCGAGGTGTTGAAAATAACGGTTTGGTGTTGGAAAAAAACGCAAGTAATCTGTATCTGTATGGTAGGGAGGGTAAGCGTAGGCACAGCAATTAGGCCACATGTGCCCCATTGTACATCCTCCCAAGGAGTTGTCCTCCTAGGTCATCGTACATCCTATCCTTTCCAGGAAGGTGGACAGGTCTCTGGGAGACATCTCCTTTATATCGGCAGGTGTAGGCCAAGACTAGCCGAACACACACTGTCTTATTGACGATAACTCCGGGCACTCGCATAGGACATGCCTGACAGTCTCATCTTCCTTTCCACACATCCTGCATAGAGGTGTGTCCACCAGCCCCATATTGTGAACGTGTTTCTTTAGTTGACAGTGGTCAGTCAGAAATCCTACTGTTAAGCGTAGATTTTTCCTGGTCATCGCCAGACAATTCTTCGACGTCAGCTTGCCAGGGTTTCCCAGGGTGGTCCTGGCAAGAAAGCATCCTTTGATTTCATCCCATATCTTTAGGGATTGAGCATGGGGGTGACGTTTAGCTAGTTCCGCAATTGTCGAAGTCATCAGGCCTTAGGTGCCACTGGGTCTTAAAATTCTTAGTCCAACCGCTTCCTAGGCTGAAGAGTCGTCAATGCAATTACCTTTTCTCCTGTTGTGTCTTCAACCCACCTCAGGATAATCTACTCCAGTCATATTCATTACACCAAAGGTTTCAAACAGTACATCACAATTACAACCACTTCAGATTATTTTCCTAATTTCAACATCGAATCAAATTGAAAGTATAGATGAATCTATTTTTTTGGCTTCCAATATATGTATGCAGAACATCGCATTTTTCTCATTTTCCATTTTTGGCTCAATAATATTTTTCAACAACTGTTGATACATGGTTGACGTCCGAAACTGTTTCGATTCCAGAAAGATTACCATCGTCAACCATGATCACTTCAACCATTTTGGTGCATTTCTAAAGTGTGAATATATGTTTAATGCATATAAACAATAGGTCGACATTCGTCTCTATAGGTCCGCATGTTATCATCAATAATCCTATTCGAAGTTTTTGAATTTTTTTCGCAAAGATCCCCTGCTACCCTGATAGTCAATATCTCGGATAATAGTTCTATGAACTAGGGAAAATTGATAAATCGGCATCATCCATCACAATTTCGAAATGTTTGATACTAATATTTCATTTGGAGAATTTCACTAGTTCGGACTTCCATTGTCTACTATATAAAATGATTTGAAATCCCTAAAACAACTAAAAAAGAAGAATTGAAAGTGAATAGCTGAAAATAACAATTATATTAACCAAAATAAACCTGAAATTAAATAATAGTGAAATAAAATACAAGTAAAAATAGAACAATTGAATAAATAATGATAAAGAAATGAAAAAAGATTTTTCGCACAGTTCGCACGCAAACCCTTGTGGCGTCAGCTACTCGTTTTTTAACCTTATTGAACTGAAATATAATATTGTTTACAATGTCACTTATCGTCACTATCACTTCCCACCTTCACAAGTGGAATTCTTATTCCATCTGCCGTTGCTTCTGCTGGCATAAAAATCAATACGGCGTTCATAAAATCTCCGCTTTGTCCGCTGAGGGCCTTGTTTTTCAGTTCACTGTTCGAAGGCATTTTCAAAGACAACAAATAATTCACCGTTCACCATACAGAATAATTTCTTCACTTACTGTATTAAGGCGATTTACTACACGAGTTCCTCTATTAATGACTCCACTCTGACGGCTGATATACTGCGCATCCAATGTTCAGAGGCAGAGCTGAATTTGCCAAACAGTACCTGCCTCAAAATGTCCTTCCGATGTCATGGATTCCAGGACATCGGCTGCGGATGCACATTTTCACCGGCAGCAGGAGGTTGTATATCTTAAAGAGGATCTAGAAGTGATTTTGAATTGGGGTGAAAGTAAACAGGTTCCATTCAATGCCATGAAAACCCAGGCATCGGTTTTCCTCCTAAGAGATGAATGTTTCCAAACCGGATATAATAATGTCAGGTCAGACAATTCCGCTTTCTGTTTCGATGAGTTTGTTGGGGGTCAAATTGGACACCAATATGCCTTGGCACAATCATGTCGTTGGAATTGCAAAGGCTGCTTCCCAGAAGCTTGGAACACTGTGTTCCGAACCAGCACCAGCACACTTCAGCAACTTCTGATGCTTTATAAAGCTCAGATCCGACCTTCTTTGAAGTATTGCTCTCATGTATGGAGTTCCGTCCCTAAGCAAACCCTGAAGCTGCTGGATTTCATCCAGAAAAGAGCCATCCGCCTAATTGAAGACATCACTTGCAACCTTGATAGTCTGGAACATCAAGGAATGGTTGGAGATTTGTCTCTCTTTTATAGATACTGACACAAAAGGTGTTCAAATTACTTACAATAATTGATTCCACCAAGTACGTATCAGAAATACGCGGCGGACTGTGACTGCTCATCATTTTGAGGTCCAACTCAGTACACCACGAACTCCACTGTTCAAAAACTCTTTTATAATAGGTGGAATAACCTGTCTGAGAACGTTTTTCTAATGAATTCAATCTCCAGCGATTCTAATCCAACGTGAATCGCTACTTTCGCACAGGAACCGCTCTTAAAGCGCCTCGAGGATTTTTCTGTAGTGCTTGTGTTTTGTCCCTGAATAAAAATTGTAGGGAACTCGTTGACACGTTTTGTTTGGAATTCAATCGAGTTCTCATCTTTACTCACCACTGTTCTGAATTGAAATGTATATTATGATTTTCTTAATAATCATATATTCGATTATTCAAGCAGTCAATTTCATTTCCTCTTTTTGCTTCCTAATGGCTGCCATAAAAAGGCTATGAAACTCCAATCTCATCATGATGATTAAGGAAAATGGATAATGGAAAAATATTTTAAGATGCGGTATATTTGATGATATCGTACAAGAATTTTTAAATAAATATCCATTACACTAATTAGGAATTCATCTGAGTGGATTAAAAATTAATCGAGATTGATTTTCACAAACGATTGTTCGTTGGATTCACTACAAAAAAAATTATGGGAAAAGAAGGTTTTGGTTTTCTACTTCTCCATCTTTATACAAAAAATTGTGGGAGTGTTGATTTCTTGCTTCGTTTCTTTAGAAACGAAGAAATCAATTTAAAAAAAGTAATTCCATACAAAGACGTGTAAATCTCATGCGAAAAAGTAACTTTCAGACACGAACTGGATAAAAAAGCCGTCTATAAACAGCTATTTTCATATAAACATTGAATTATACGAAAGAAAAATAATTTCGAAACAAATAGTTTTATATGAACGCAGAATTACACGAAAAACACTTTTCTCTATTACGTTTGTATTCCAAACATCTCTATGGAATCGAATCAGATATCATTCGCAGGATTCCTACACAATATAATCAATAAAAGAAGTAAAATTTCACTTACCTGCAACACTGTCATCCTCACTGCTAGGCACCCGATGTTTTGCCGTAAGACACTTGCCTTATCAGCTTTTCAGTACTAAATCTGGATAACATTATAAAAAAAACACACAGTTCATTCATAAAATTACGACTTTATGTCATGGAAGGAGTTCCATCTACTGATGTCATCGATGACATCGTAATGACATTAATTCCCTATTTGATTAAATCCCAGCCAAAGGAATCTTGTTTGAATTGAAATTCAATTCAAACAACATAATTCAATACTTATGCCATACTTCACAAACTTTTTCCCAAATTTTGCCCCAATTTGAACAGATTTCAAACATAGTATTACTTTTATATCATTTCCAGAATTTCTCAGTAATCAATATCGTTATTTTCAAGCTAACACAAAACTTGTCACGATAATCCCATTTTCTTTGTTTTTGTGTGTCTATGTTAACTCACCGCTATACTGTCAATCCAAATAATTGAACCAGAAACCCCTCTAAATATGCTTTTATTTTCAATTTTTCCTCATGGAATGATATGAGGAAATTTAACAAATCTCTCCTACAACTCCATCCATTAGGACAATCAGAAATATTAGTGTATGATAAAGATGTTTATATACTAACTGTAAATATGTGTTTTGTGAACGCTTTGCTTCTATGCTTATTTACAGAGTAAATGGGAAGGATCTGAAGGAAACTGGGGGAGAGTAAGTGATCACTATAGTTCAATCATGTAAATGTTCTCATTCGTGCAAGCACTGCGCTAGATGGAATGCAACTCTTAGCTACGACATATGCCTCAACACGCAATATGGTGGACAAAACATATTTTCATAGCAATCTTCAATTATTTCCATACAAATTTTTCAAATGTCATTGAATACCTAATTTTTGACCACCCCGTATACAGCTTCATACTTAACACAGAACCACTCGCACACATTCGTCGTTTGATTCTAATTTATGCTCGAGCAAGATGATCCCGGAAATCATAGCCCTTCACTTGGTTGAAGGGTGCTAGAAAATCTCTATCAATCCCTTGAGGGGTGGCTGACAGTTTAGAGCGAAAGATAAATTCGGAAACATCGGGATACGGGAGGGAAAATTCCTGGAACTTTCAGGAAGTGTAAGATTTTATCGCTTTATCTTTCATGGTGTGTGTTCCACACACTTTTGGAAATTGAAAAAATGACGGGTGTCAAATAATTTCCTGAACGGAACTGGAAAACCATGAAATGGTTTTGAATTACTTCGTGAGGTTTGCCATAAGTTGAATGGTTGGAGATGGTAAAACAGATGCTGGAATAATCCATCTGTTCTGTCATATAGCTTCTAAAGCAAAGCAAGCCACTTTCATTGGTCAAATTCCATCATTATCTAATCTTTCAGATCTCTCTTTCTCTCTCTAGAATTCGAATGTCTCGTACTGAAAATTGAATCAGAATAATCATGAACTAGAATGCTAGAGTGACTAGATCCGAATGGTTCAATATCTGAAGGCAATTGGTAGAGATTTTCTTCAGGTTCCAACAGCTCTATTATGAAAATAAGATATCGACATTCCACAAAAAATTCACAATGTTCCGGCTGTGAGATTTCAGGTGTTTCTATACGAAATGCTGTTCATCAGATTTCATTCGAAAATCCTCCTCAAACTACTCTCTAAAAACGATGATCACAAAAACCAATGAAATTAATGATATCATGCTCTATCAACTCCATCATATTTTCTAATTGAAACTCCATTCAGAAAACTCGAATTCACTTTGATGGACAGCAGTTCACGAAACAAAAGTTTAACGCATGATTGAAAGAGCAAAGCGAATGTAGGAAGAAGGATGTCGATTAAAACACGCTACTATACTAACATTCAGCATGCAGGTATGTCATATGCAGTAATTTTTTGCTTTTGCCAGAGTAGCGTTATTGAATGGTCTTTCAGTTGGTATTGTACAAGTTCAGGCTGGTGATTTTAAATGTTGGATAATACGGTTTGTTCCAGAGTAAGTGTATTTGATGTCTGGAGTTGTGCACCGCACAAAAATAAAAAAAAAATCTTATATTCGTGTCAACACATTTTTTTGGAAGTCATTCTGAAATTTCAGCATCAAAACATGTGTATTGGATATGATATGAACTGAAAGTTTGTTGTTGTTCAGAGAAGCGAATTAACAGTGCTCAGAGGAAAATAAAATTGGTATTGATGATACTGATAATGAAACATTTTCAGTTATAAATGATGTCAAATCCACTGTATCATATTTATATAGCAGGCGATGAAACTCATCTCTTATATCGAACCCATTCTCAAACCTATCTTCTATAAAAATCATCTCGACTTTTGTTGAGGTCACATGGTAAGAGGACGGCTCTGCCGAACCCTAAAAATCTGATTCAGTCCCCAGCGGGGCAGGCACAAAGTATGTGCTCTGCTGTTTGATCATTTTCCAAACAGAGGCGACACACACTGTCTTCCGATACTCCGAGTCTCTGCATATAAAGATTCAAATGACAGTGACCTGTGAGAAGGTCTGTTAGACATCGTAGTTCATCCCTACTGTAGTCCAACAACTGTTTGGTATCAAGCTTCGAAAGGAGTGAGCCAGTCTTGGAGTGACCAGTCTTGGAAGATTATGTCAGAAGTCCATAAATCTTCTTGTCTTCCAGGTGTTCAATCTTTGTTAGGCAAAGCCTAAAGCGAGTCCAATGACAGGTTCTCGTCCGATGAAGCTGCTTGCAGCACCCTCTTTTGCAAGGGAGTCAGCAGTCTGCCTTCCAGGCCAGTATGGTCAGGAATCTAGACCAAAGACAATCTGTTAAGTCTTCCTATCGGGAAGAGTCTTTTTTGGCGATTTGCTACCAATTTAGACGTTGCTCGGTAGGAGCCAAAAGCTTTCAACGCCGCTTGAGTGTCCGAGCATATTTTTATTGACTTGTGAACGAGGTTGAATTCTTCAAATCTCTCCGCACACAATTCAATGGCATAAATTTCCGCTTTAAATACAGTCGCATAGGTTCCCAGGCAGGTTGATATATCTATCGTGAGTCTGCGACTGAAAACACCTGCACCAGAACCTTAAGGTGCTTTTGATCCATCTGTAAAACAACAACTATCTGCTTTAATATATCCTTCTCCCGGAGAAAGAATACATCCTTCTCCAGTCCTCTCTACTCGGGAACAGTACTTTATAAGGAAGTTCGTAGTTGACAGTTGGAGGTATAAGTCAGTCTGTTGAATTTGAGTTGTGCAATTGCCTGTGTACACAAGTCTATATGCATTCCATCTAGCCTCCCTTTTCAAAAAAATATGGAGAGGAGGTATCTATAAGGATCTCCATGACCGCTGACGGTGTGGTACTAATGGAGCACTGATGGCCAGACAAGCCTGTCTCTGTAAGCCAGGAGGCTTCTCCTTTGCCGTTTTCTGTAAAGCCTTCGGCAACCAGGCAATTGCACCATAAGTGATCATTGGTCTGACAATCATCATATAAATCCAATGGATTTGTTTGAGACCTGAACCCCAAGTTTCACCACAAATCCTTCGACATGCCCTTAGAGACAGTCTGGCTTTGTTGACTTGCTTTCATTGAACATCGTAATACCTGAAAATATTGATCCTTCTAGTCTGGTCTCTACAATTTTTGTCGGCAGGCATGAAGGTAGGAGGAGACTGTTAGAACAAATTCTGGAGCATTTCATTTTTTCCCAAAAAATTGAATTTCCAGTCGAAAAACCAGGAAAGAATCACAAGCATGATCAAACAGGAGCCAAGATGATTTGAGGGGCTCAATTGATGCTACTGACTCTAATTAATGATTCTATCCGACTGAATGGGCTGAACTGATAATCTCTATGGGTTCAAAAACCTTTCTTCCAATTCAAGGTACGTTCAAGTAACATTCCTTTGAATCAGCGTCATATATTTCAATCGTGTAACGGTGATAATCCCGTGAAACTTCATGCTACATATCCAGAGTGAGTTCAGACAAAAAATGAAATCGTGGAAATGGAAATGGAAAATAAATTATGAAATTTCATCAGTGTTCTTTTCTAATCCACATTCAGAAAAATAAAATAATATCTACACATGCAAAAAAAATTAAAATATGTTGTTCATGGTAACCAAAACGTCAAAACTAACATCCCTCGTAGATATTGAATGACTTCATTCAGGTTTACAACTGTTTTCACAAATTTGAGAAATGTTTTTAGACGAATTAGAATCACTATTGTTGTAGATTATTAAAGTTGAGTTTTGAATTGGAATAACTGGAGTGTTTATTGTTGCTATTTCGTTGAACGATACAGAATGTTGCTGGAACCTCTAAAAACAAAGTTCAACATTCATTTTCTTTCAATTCGGCCAGTGCTCTCAGATTTTGCATAATCATGCTGTCGTCTGACTTGAATTGCGATATAAAAACCAATGTAGTAATAAAATCCAAAACTTTCTCCCAAATTCTCCTTTTTCAAATATACTTTGCATACGATTCTCAGTGGCGAGTATGATTTTGCAATTGAATTAAAATGAACTGAAGGAGATCTCAAAAAAGACAAGGATTTTCGTATTCCTGAATTTATTAAATTCCATCAAGTTCAAAGAAACTCTCAGCTTTCAGCTTCAGACAAAATTCTCATTGAATAAGTATTATCACTAGTCTCCAACAGTTCAAACAGAAAGCTTCTTTTTGACTCAATATCCATGTTTTGTATGATACGAGATTATAGTAGTATAAAGCTTGTAGTAGAAAATAAGAAGTAAACAGTTTTTCGCTCCAAATTTGAGGTTATGTAGAAAAGTAGCTTTTATAAACGTTTTTCACTTTTTCATTATCCACAACTTTTCTATACATTTTACTGTAGAAGCAAATTCAGTAAAAAGTCGCAAAAATTCATTTTCAACCCCAAAACATCACCCCCTTTCATCATATCCATCTATTCTGAATTTACTTTATGTTTTTCACATTACATATTACCAAAACTGAATGTTATGACTAGTCCTAGCCCGTTCAAACTCATAGTTTTTCTAACAGGCCCAGGTACCTGTTTGAAAAAATTAGGAAATTTTTCTGAAGAGTTTCTGATTAACCTACGAATAACTGCTACTGCAAAGTCTGAACATTACAACCATCCGTCAATCTAGAATTATAATTTTACTTGAAGACTGGTTGTAAATCAAATTATCTGAAAAAACAATTCATTCAGGATAGTCTCAACTCACCTTCACTGTTGGTTAATGGACTGACACCTATCAGAAAACAACTACTCCCCTGGCTAATACCACGAAGGGCGTTGGATCATATCCGACAGGTGTCAGTGCAGGATTACATGGTATTAACCAGATGAGTGGTTGTTTTCTGATTCAATTTCACTGTAGTATATTTGGCAATACTTTCATTCAAGTAGTGATATTCGAATTTGACGTCATATCCAAAGCACCAAAAATAAAACGATGTGAAATTTGATTACCAAAGTATTCCTGTTCTAATTATTTACTCACACGGACACATTGAGCTTCATTCAGATATTTAAAAAAATGACAACAACAAAAATAATGCTTTCGTGTTACATTTTTCAATATCATAATCAAAAGCTCTCTATATAAGATATATTGGATATATTGGATCGATTACACTCACTTTCATCAGCCGTATCATCCGCACAACTGAGTTTGCCAAAAACCAATTTTTTGCCACCTGAAACGTAACTGAAAGACCATGTCAGCTTTCACTTCATATTCAAGACATAAAATTCCTTGGGGTTGAAAAACAGCCGATCTGACTGACGGTACCTAGTACTCGCTGTTACAGACTGTGGTGGAGGCTTGCCAAAAGAAGAGGCAGTGCAAGTTCCAGACGAGCCCGAAGACATTTGGAGGCGACCCTTGCCCTGGAGTGAGGAAGTATGTCGAAGTAGCCTATAAATGCAGACCATGTGAGTATAGCGGCCGCATCAAGTTGAAAAATGTTGATAACAAAATCAGATTTCATTTTAAGAGGTATTCGATAGCAGATGTTTCATCATATCTTGTTTGAACTTTCCAATTGAGAGACAGGCGTAACTGTACTTGTTTTTAGATCATCTGAAAAACTACCATTTTGTAACGAGGTGTTGACAAAAGGACACCACACATGTCCAAATTACTTCAAAACTACTCTTTATAATTTTGCTCGATAATGCATCTACTTGTGATCCTTTGTTTGCTAAATTGGATACAATTACTTTCAATTCTTGAAGAGTTAGTATTTTAAAATCACTGAAACCCTCTTCATCAACGTAGTCGATGTGACAGGTAAATCCAATATCTTCAATAACAGAAATAATGTCTGTAATACTATTTACAAAAAATGAATTAAAACAATTAGCCAATTTTTGTTTTTCTCTAATGATAACTTTTTAATTATTTTTTTCAAATTGAATACCATTAGCCATTCTAGAGGAAACGGTTGTATAGCCAGGCAATATGATGTCAGAAAGATCCATGGAACAGTGGAATCTGCAGACAAAGATAATTCAAATCTGATTCGGCGGTCGATGTAGAAGCTTATCTTCTTCAATTCGTGGTTTGAGTTTTTGGTCGATACCATGGATAGTCTTTTTGTAAGGTGAGATGGCATCTCCATCTCACTCTATTTTGTTTTGGATGAAGACAGACGAATTAAGAAATTGCATCCGTGAATTGGTCAGTAATACTGATGAGATTTATTGCAGATCATAAATGCAGCCCTCTTGTGTTCTGGTTTTCCAGATCCCATAATGGCAGTCAACTCAAACTGAACTTGAAGAGAACTTGTAAATAAGGATATCAACACAATTGTATAGGAATGTTGGGGTTTACGGCTGGCGTTAATGTATTTATTGGTTTCCGGGTTTTGCCGTGGTCTTCTTTGGTTATCTCCAAACGCTTCAGCTGCAACTGCGGCAGTCATCTTCAGTGGAGTGGATGAAGTACTTTCCTTGACGTGTCAACTAAAACTGAAGCTCTCATTTCTGCCTTGTCATTTATAGTACTGATTTTTCGCACACTTCCACTAATGGCGGGTTCGCACCTATTTCCCGCGCGATTTGTATGACTTAGCTTCGTTTTGGCGCTTTTCAATGCTGTATGTCAGATCTTTGGTAGATATATTCTCTCTTCCTTTCTCTTCAAGTTCTCTTGGTGTTTGTGTATTCCTATGGCTTCTAAATACATTCTTGTTGAATAATGATTCAACGTTACCAACTTCTTGGTATTTTCGAACAGGATCTTGTGTTCCCCGTCAGATAGTGCATGCTCATTGACTGCAGGCTTCTTGGTGTGTCCCAATCGGTAACTTCGCTCAAGCTCAACCAATGCTTCTTTTCGTCTGACCGATATAGGTTTTAATACACTCACATGGAATCCTGTAACTCCCGCTGATTTGAGTGAGTTTCTGCTGTGTTTGCCGATGTCAGACACTCCAATATTATCTTCGATGATTTGTAGACGGTGTTAGTTCCCTCCTCCTTTAGAATTCCGCCGATTCGTTTGGTGACACCTTCTATGTATGGCAGGTAGACAGTGCCCTTGGGTTGCTCTTCACTGGTGCTCCTCTTGTTCTCCCTCGGACTTGTAGCGAGGATTATGTCTTTTCTGTCGTAGCAGTTGTAACACAATTGTTAGGTGTTTCATTTGGTCGTCGATGTACCTTTTCTCGCATATTCTCAAAGCTCTGTTCACTAGGGTGATGATGTCGGTTCGTTTCTGTTTTGGATGATGATTGGATCCATTATGTAGGTATCGATCTCTGTGTATTTCCTTCCAGTACACCTTATGGCCTAGTTCATTACCTTCCTTGATGACTAAAACATCAAGGAATGGGATTTGGAGCTTTTCTTCCGATTCCATGGTGAACTGGATATTTGGATGAAAGCTATTCAGATGATTCCGAAAGTTCTGGAGTTCTTCCTTTCCATGACTCCAAACAACGAACGTGTCATCTACATACCTCAACCAGTGTTTCGATCGTTTTTCTGAGGTTTTAATGGCTCTTTCTTTCCTCTCAACAATTTTACTTCATTATTGAATCAAAATTTAATCTAACTCTAATCCAGTAAGTTTTTATATCTTCTTTGTAACCCTCGAGATATTTTCACTTCGTTAGGATTATACTCATACCACCATTATCAAATCTGAATCTGATTTTAATGTTTCCAATTTCGTTCGAAACCGGCAGATGGGGTCCAATATTTCCTCACAGGCACTCGAAATGTGTGGAGTTAAATAGAATCAACTTTTTCCAGACGAGTTTCGAAGTAAAGTGGCCTGCGAGAACGAACGAATCCAGCTGAAGTGCAATCCAAATTCGAGGGTGGCCGTGTACAGCGCAAGTTACGGCAGGACGGAATACGAAAGCATCCAATGCCCCCAACCGCAAGGCGTTCCAGAGGAAAGTGAGTTAATTATATTTTTCATTATGCAAATTTGTGCCTTCGGAAATACTGGAAAGTGAATTTTTCACGTTGTGCCTCTAGGCGTTGTCTTCCACGTGTGACATTCGTTTTCCATTATTTCCTCAGTAAGGTAATTTGATTTTTTTCATCAAAATGAGTCCCGCATCAAAGTTTTATCATTATTGAATATCATCAAATTTTCACTAGTTATCACTGGATGACATTTCTTTATGAGCCATTTCGGAAAATAACACGGAATTTGTAATAACAACTGAAGGACCAATTACTTACGCAAGATGAAGGACTGCCAATGGGATCGCCACCTTCTCCAGTTGTAGCCAACATATATGTGGAGTGGTTCGAAATTCTGGCTATTGAAGAAGTCCACAAGAACCCCCAAGTCCGGTTGAGATATATATTGACGACACTTTCATAGTATGGAACCATGAGAATACAGCACTAGACACCTTTCTGAAGCATATCAACAGCGTGGAACCCTTCATCTCCTTCAGCAGGAAATCCACAACAGATTGCCATTCTTAGAGTATTGATGAAGACGACCAACACTGAATGCGAAACATATCTATACTGAAAACCCAGTCACACGGGACAGTATCTGAATAATTAATCCAACTACCATTGATATACTAAAAAAGGAGTCATCAAGACTCTAGTAAATCGTACTTTCTGGCTCTATAATACGAAGGAAGGGCTTAGGAAGGAATTAGGCATCATCAAAAATGATCTTCAACGGAATGGCTACTTCAAGATTTTGGCTGAAAGACAACAAGAGGCTTGCAAGGAAGAGAAGCCGTCACAACCAGTGTGTGCCCTTCCCTATTTCAGAGGATCCTCGGAGAGAATAGGAAAAGTTGGTCCAAGTACAACATCAGAACCTGCATCAGATCCGGAAACACCATCCGTAGCAGGTTCACGACAACCAGGCCACCAAAAGCAGACTGCGATTTCAAGAATTGCACGTACCCTGTACCCTATGAATGTGGAAAATCCTATATCGGTGAAACTAAGAGGCCATTGGAAGTCTGCATTGCCGAGCACAAGAAAAACATACAGCGAGGAGAAATCAGGAATAACAGAGCATTTTTGGACTCATCAACATAACACCAAGTGGTCCCGAACAAATATCATTCACAGGGAGGAACACTGGTTCAAGAGGAAATTCAAAGAAGCTACATATATGTGGTCCAACGATGCATTCAGCAAAGCTAGCATAGAGATACGCAACATATGGAATGAATCAAGCGGAAAACGGTCAGCTTCCGCTCAAACCCGTGAAGCGAAGAGACGAAAGAGGGGATAGGTGAAAGCATTCGAATGATCTATAAATAGTAATCTTTCGGAAGAATAGTCCATTCATTACCCGAAGACGATTATGGATGCTCGCAATCGAAACGTCGTGAAATAACTTGGTTTGAAATCTTTCAAAGTTTCATTTCATTTTTAATTGTTCGTTTGATAATTTTTTGCATACTTTTATTTTATTGTACATTTCACGGTTGTTTGCTCAATAAAACTTATGTTCAGCTATTCATTTCAATTTTTGATTTTATTTGTTCTTTCACAGATTTCAAATCATATTAGACAATAATAAACTGAATGTGATGTGATTTCAAGCTAAGTTACTTCTTTTTGTTGTATTTTTATTGTTGGTATCCACAATCGTCTTTGGGTGATGACTGGGGTCATCGCCATCTGACTTCCCCATTTCTTCAAAGTCTTATTGCGTTTTTCTCCCATCTTTTCCATGATACCCATTCCAAAAATCTTGTTTCCTGTAATAGTTTGTACAGATCTTTTGCTGGTGTATGTCATATTCTTCTGAACCTAATTCAGGTTGTCCATGAGTTGTTTACCTGCAGCTAATACACTATTGTCTCACAAGATGTATTGATTGTAGATTCAAAATCATGAAGTCTATAAACTCTGCCTTGTGAGGTAATAGCAGTAGATTCCTTCAAGTTTGGCCACCAAACGGAAGAAGCACGTTATCATGGGTTGAACATAGCTTTCTGCAGGAAAATCTATCCAAAATTAGTACTACCTCCGCCATTTTTCATTCTATCTTAACTTTACTTCCAGGAAAATCTGGAATCTATATTATCAGTCTCAAACCATCATTTCTCAGCCCGATAGTTTCTGTTTCACTCCCAAGTTGTAGATGATCTTTGTCTCTGCATCTTGATGTTTTGGTTAATGCAATTATGGAAGATTTGAATTGGCGTATGTTCAGTCCTTCTTTCTTGATCCATCTACTTATTCAGGACCCGCTATGCACTCCCTCACTTTAAACTCCCCACATTTGCAATGCACTAGGATTGTTTGCATAACCCACTATTGTGTTAGCATTACGGTCCAGAAATGATGATAGCTCGTCCATTACAAAGGTATATTACACATCTACCCCATAATTGTTATGTATACAAAGCTTCCTCTACTTCTACAGTCCACGTGCAGCTCCTATCGTCGATACCTCGTCCCCTAAATGCCTGGATAACTAATTCTAATACCTGTTAAGTAGTTTTTCCAATATTTCTAATATGAATGACGTAAGACTAAGTGGTTCCAACCTATAATTTTCAGAATAAACTCGTCCTTAATCATGTTTCAGCCGAAGTTGATCTGAAAATGACACACATTTTTGAAGCAGAAGTTTTGGTCTTTTGTTTTGTTTGTTTCCCTGTATTCATCTAGGAATTTTCATATTGATCTCATACGCCTGATTTCCATGCACTTTCAGGAGTTTTTATTGTTTAGTGCCTCATCCATGGCAAATCATTTGTTCAATCAATATCTGGCCAACTCAAGGACAATGTAGACATACGTGCGTAGGCATACTGTTATTCCAAAAGCATGATTATGTAATCCCTGAGCAGTTCTTGGGCTGAAAGTTTTTCAGGCTCTTCAAAAACAGTCTAGTACTCAACTCATTATAAATCATATTGCATCAACTAGGAATTTCGCATCTATTGTGAGGTGGATGGCTAATAAATCATATACATATTTATGAAAAAGCCAAGAGGGAAAACGTTATATTCAAGTCCCTTTGAAACAAGAGATCACACTTCTGAAATGTCTAGAACTGAAAGAAACGACGAAAGCAAATTAAATTCGGACTGTTGTGAGCGGAGTTCTGATAAATAATATAGTGATTTACATGCATCCCTGAGCTCCGTGTGAGACGAGTTGATAAATAGTTTCCCGAACGACTGAAGTTCAAAATGTTGTACAGGAATTTTACCAGTATCATACCTAGGCGCATTAACAACGAACTCCCTTTGATGTTGACGCCATCCTTAATTGAAGTTATTCATACAAAGTTCGTATTCAAACTTTATTCAAATATTGACTTACGAAACGACCTTTTCCCAAACTGAAGTTGAGCCGCGATTCAGCAGCTCTTAGAAACGAAATTTGAATGAATAACGATTCAAATTCATTGGGAAAATTGAGATGGAATTTGGAAAATATGTTTGGAACTCATTTGATTTTCTATGCAAAGGTATTGTTGTCGATCACACATATAATTTACGAACCCATTAAGTATATTCCCTCTAATGCCGAAATTGTTCAGTTCTGAGATCAATATATCATGATGTATCGTATTAAATGTTTTACATAAATCTAAATACGAAAGGCAACGATTTTATCATTGTCAATTTCAGTTGGAATTTTTGGAATGACATCCATTGCTGCAGCCTCTGTATCTCTAGACCTGCGAAAACCATAACGATCACTATATAAAAGATTATTTTGAAAGGGTTATATTTTTAGGAATGACTAATTTTTGGGAAAGAAAGTTTTTGGCGTCTCCAATCAGGTTGATGAAATCTAGCAGCTTCAGGGTATGTTTGGGGTTGGAGCTTCATACATGGACACAACTCCAAAGAAGGTCTGCTCTGAGCTTTATAAAGCATCAAAAGTTGCTGAAATGTGTACAGTTTTCTTGTTTAGAACAGTGTTCCAAGCTTTTGAGAAGCAGCATTTGCAATTCCAGCGACATGATTGTGCCAAGACATATTGGTGTCCATTTCAACCCCCAACAAACTTATCGAAGCAGAAAGTAGAATTGTTTGCTCTGACATAATTCTGACATCCATCTCCTCTGTAAACTCGCTCCTGATCTGAATTTACAGGGAGGTCAGTTGGAGTCATAAGTTCGACATCCATCTCCTCTGTAGACTCAGCGTCAGAAAGAATTTGTAAGTTTACTCTGTCCATAAGAGTCCCACGAGTAGCTAGAGAAGGAAGGTCAATCACGGCATAGCTCTGCATTACCGTGACAAGGCGATGCTACGATGAGAGGGCGCCCGGTATCTCGAAGGTTCCGTAGTGACGGCTCAGTGTCATTCATCCTCTCGGCACGGATACACACCCTTTTTTTTTTATTTTTTATTGATCACAAGTACACCATGGTGTCTGGACAAGTAACATCAAATACACATATATGACATATATAAATTGTAAATTATAAATTATTTACAACGTAAAATTACAACATAATTACTAACACATGACATATGAAACAAAATTTAAAAGTGAAACATAAAAATATTAAGGTCCATATAGATTATTAACAAATCTGTAAGTCATATTTATAAATAAGAGTTAGGAGTATTATGTAATAATTTGAAACAAATTTAACCAAAAGAATGAAAAAATAACAGGAATTGTAATTCAAATTAACTTAGGACAATTCGAAATCATTTACTTCGTAGTAGGCTTTCCTCAACAGAATACTCTTCAGTTTCTTTTTGAATATTTCCAGGTGTGTATCTTTCATTTCAATAGTTAATTTATTGAACAGTCTCATTCCTAGATAATTGCGACTAGTACTTGCTAATTTATGTTGTGGAATCAGCAGGTTGTCTCTATTTCTTGTATTATAATTATGATTATCACTAAGTGTCTGATAGTTGCTGATATTTTTTTTTATGAATACCAAGTTAGTATATATGACTGATGAAGGTAACGTCAAAATA